TTTGGTTTAATAATATAACATTTTATAGTATTCTGTTAGAACTCAATGATTATCCTAATTATATTTTAGATTTTTTATATTTAAAATGAGATGTTTATCATGTATTTGATTGTGTTTATCTGCAGTTAGTTACACGAATTCAGATATGGGATGAAATCGGATATGGATGAACGGATTTAAGAGTTTTTAAGAGTTTTAGACAAATGCATTATAAGATAGTATAGATATAGATATATGATTATGATATAATCTACTATTTTCAAATTACGAATAAGAAAAAATAAAATAAATATGAGCATGTATATAACATGTTTAGCATTATAAATTTATTTTTATCACGTAAGAAAACATCTCTCTTAAGTTGGTTATATTTAAGCAAATAATGAATTTGAATTAAATAACTTCTTGAGCAAATATGCATTCTCATCTTAACAAAGTTACAAACTACACTCTAAATTTGTTGCATCTATATTAAAACTATAGATCGTCTGAAATGAATAATAAATAAATAAAAATATAAAATATTAAAGATTTAGAAATTAAAACAATAAAATATTTAAATCACAAAATGAAAAGAATATCGAATAATCGTTTTTGTTTTTCATTAACAAATTCTGAAATTATATAGTATTTTTTGATTTCGAAAACAATTAAATAGGTTTATATTTAGGTAAAAAATTCACATGTTGCGCAATATAAATCCGGGCCCCAGGTGCAAGTAATATTGAACCCTAAAATTTTGGGGGGCCCTCTTTAAAAACCAAAATCTAATATGCTAATAGACGGCCTTGATAATCACTTTATTTTTATATATGTATTTAAGCATGCGAATGAGACCGCCACCGTTGGGGAACCAGGTTACTCGTCCTGGCTGCGGCCGAGGATTCCCCCGCAAAATTGGAGACGAGGGATAGGGACGGGGATCCCCAAAAGTTAACAACCCAGGGATGGGGACAGGGATCCCCAAAAGTTAGCAACCAGGGATGGGGACAGGGACAGGGATCCCCAAAAGTTAACAACCAGGGATGGGGAGAGGGACAAGGACAATAACGTGATCCTTGTCTCGCCCCGTCTCCGTCCTCGTATATTAGATATTATGTATAAGGAATTAGATTTATTATCTTTTAGATTTAGAAAGAGTATTCGATCTTTTTTCTTATATACATTTTTCTAATTTGTCTTACTTTTTTTAAATAAAAAACATGAAGAGCTGAAAGCGTTTGATCAAACAATTACGTATGAGGTTATGAATTTGTTCACATATGACTATTTGATACTCCATAAAAACAAACTTTTGGAAATATTTTAGATTTAAACATGGACCATTTTGGATAGAATGTGGTGTTTGACACATTTGATTTAAAATATCTCACATTAATGGGGAAAAGATCTCCAATTCCCCGTTAGGGATGGGGATAGGGACAGTGGCGGATCAAAAACTTTTATGATTTGGGACACACTTAGGGGTGTCAAAAGATTTTGAAACCGAACGATTCATTCAAACCAAAATTGTTCCAGGTAAGGTGCTCAGGGTTGGATTGTTTGGGTTGAAAGCATTTGAATAACCCAACACAATATTTGTGGTTTGAAAAATCTCAATCCAACCCAAACCAACAAGCAACCCAAATCGTACGGGTTGGTCGGGTTGATATTTTGGTACATCAAAATATTCCTCTAACCTTGAGTATGGTGTTTTATCTACTATGGTTCATTTTTTATCATCAATCATTTAGTACAACTTATCCATATTCCTTAAATTTTAACATTCAACCACTTTTTTCAATTTGGATATATATGTTCACATTTATTGAACATATACACGAATGAATTATATAGAAATGGAGAAGAGAACACGGAGTTTGTAAGTCATGTGGCTCTCGAAGTTTTGTCTTAGCAAACTTTTGCACCTTTTGCTTTTTTTTTTTATGACTGATTTCTTTAGTACACAAACAATTTCCACGATTTTGCTACCTGAAGTTGGCTTTTAAAGATCGGTCTTTTTGAAGAACTTTTACAAGTCCTCCACGTGGCTCGATATTCGGAACTTTTATCGTTATTATTTATTAAGAGACGACAATAGATCAAGATTTATCCTCGTATTGAGATCTGTTTGCATGAATCTTGAAGTTGTATAAACTTCACGACACAAGGTATCAACAGAAGACCAAATACTAGCTTTCGTCTCTCAATGTCAGTGTTGCCCCAGCAGAGTGCTTTCGCAAGAAATACCTTGTTTACGTATCATTGGGAAGTGCATTATCATAAATACGACATTAAGAAGCGGCAATACAGAAGTATGTAAACTATAAAAACGAGTCAAAGTGACGTTTTTATTCCTGGGTTGCAGTAAGTAGATCAAGAGGTTGTTTCGCCCTCGGGGAATGGGCATTTCCTAGAGACGGTCCCCAAATAACCACTTTACGCCTTTGAGTGCGTATAGATCCTTTGAGTACGGCTTGACGAAAATCGGGGTTGTCAACAAAGAAGTTGAAACCTATATATGTTTAAGATTTGAAGTCAAAATCTATATCTATTTAGGATTTTTTTGAGTTAGATATTTATTTAGAGTTTTGATTTCATGAATGGATTTTTATAAACTTGTTTAGGCTTTTGAGTTTATCGGGTAAGACTCTTGGTCTTTATCTCGCTTTTACCGGGTAAGATTCTTGGTCCTTACTGTATTCATGCGGTAAGGTAATGTGACTTGTTTAGCGCTTATCCGGATAAGTGTTTGATAAACGACCCCTAAGTGTACCAATTACTATTTTAGTTTGTCTGAAAAATAAGTTCCCCACTTTCAAAAAGTTTTCCAATTTCCCATTCTACTGTTAATTATGAGATGGAAAAAGTTTATTTTCCTATTATCAAGGGTAAAAGTGTCATTTAGTTATATAAAAAAGTGTAATAATTGCACTTTCCTAAAAGTGTGGATCTGTGTCCTAGCAGCAAAGGTGCGAGTGTAATCTATATGTGTGAGGTCCTAACCCCTCTAGCAATGAAATGCATGCACAATTTACCTCTCTCATGATGATCGTGGGACCAATAACTGCTTTTCACTTGCATCATACCATAAACACGTCCAGCTTTCTGGTACCCATTAATTAGATCACATAAGGTAACACTGACACAACGGAACACGAAAAGAAAATCCCATATCATATCATGTTCTTATGTTCATAAATTAGTGACCATAACATGATCGACCACATGCACATTGATGGTAATGAATCAACAGATCAAGCCAGCCATGAAGGATCAAAGAAAACCAAATGAAATTTTAATGTCAGGATCACCTTACCATCATATACCTCCATTCTTTGTATTTCAATCTTTACAATCTTTTCCCAATTGGAAGACGAAACTGCAAGATCGCAGGCAATCTTATCAGCAGATTACAACATACTACATCGTGTAAATTTCAAAATCAAAAAACAGCTCAAGATGGTTCAAAAGTAACTTGTAGATTCCATTTCACTCTGCATTTGTGTTTTATGGGTCTTATCACTCGATGCTTCAACAAGTAGAAGGCTATTCACATAACAAAAGGCAGGTGCTCAAATACCCTATAAAACGGAGTACTAACTCTTCACAAATCAAATTCACAAAACCCATAAAACTTATAATATTGAAAAGTATATCGAGGTGAGGAGTTTATGAACTTCCAGTGGTGCCAACCGACATCTGTGCAAAAGCGTTGTTCATAATTAAAATAAGCATATATTAAGTTGCCACTACCTACTAAACACATTACTATGACAATCCCACTGACCTGTTTATAATGCCATTTCGGCCTGCAATGCAGCAAGTTCATCTTCCTCGGCTTTGTTCTGCCGTGGAGCAGGACGTGTTGGTTGTTTGCCGGCAGGTGCATACACTGAGGTTGTAGGGGTAGTTGTGGCAGGTTGGAGAAGTTGTTCCTCCAACTCAGCTCCTTCTAATTCTTCAAGTTCAGCCTCCAATTCATCCTGCATTTATTCAGTTATGCAATGAAGAAATCCTCTTGTAAGCATAAAACAAATTTCAGTATTTTTTGACTAAGAATGTTAAAATTATTACTTAATGAATTCAAAACCGAGTTGGTTCTTGTAACAATTAGAACAGTTAATGTGCAAAGAATTCGCTTCAAATATGAAATTGAAAATTCACTATGCTCAACTTTACAAGTCAAACAAAATATCTGTGATCGTGACCTATTAAAAGGAACTGGAGACGGTACCTCATCAAAATCCGCTGCTGCACCAATAGGTGCTGACAATGCTTCTTGGATTTGTTTCATGTTCTCAGTTTGCTCGTTTATTTCATCCATTGTTTTGTCCACGTCATCAATATTCCTGCATTAATTCCATAAACAGAAGGGGCTCAACCGTAATGTTCACGAGTGTTACCAAACACAAGAAAATTTATGTCATGCAGTATCCTATTGATAATTCCTCATCTATCGTACACCAAAGGATTCAAATACATGATCAATCACCCAACCTCCACATTGTAATGTGAAAGAATATCAAGGTTTTTGGAATGTTATGTCAGTTACCATGTGGTGATAAAACTGACTTGATTTCCATCGGTAATATTTACCACAATTTTTTTATTAGGAAGGGACTTCATTGGCTACTAACTCACTCCACTAGTGGCTCAGCTTTGTCCGAGAGCTACTGCTTCCACCTCTCTTGGTTTACATATGGCTCATGCCTGGCATATGGATGTCTCTATGTTGTCAGCCTTATACATACCATACCACAGGCATTCCAAGATGTTAATTAATGTTTAGCCTTTGTTAGGGTTGCTGTGTATATATCGTTTAGATATAGCAAGAGGGTTTAATTTTTTGGTTCCCAAGTCGGCTAAAAGGCCCCATGTATTCTCTAAATGACCAAAGGAATAGATATACTTCAAACTGTCTTTAAAAAGGTATTAAAGCCACCACTATAAAATAATAATACGATCCTCTTGCCATCTTTAGGATGAATGAACACTGCAGTCATATGCAACACTAGTAGTCCCAAATGTCTCAAAAGCTCAAGAAAACCGAACCCTAGGAACTTAGATTACTCCTCCGTGACTCTCCTTTTCAAGAATTGCCTTTTAAACACATTCTTGATGTCTACCTCACACTACAAGTGGTGTATGTTTGCCAAGGTCATAACATAATCTTCACCATATATATGAGAGTATTCCTTGGTGACTAATCGGGTCTTCAAACCTGCAAGAAAGCCGCTTAACTATGTAAACCCTTGCAAGACACGACATCTTTGTGTACAAGGTCAACAATTCTCAGGTCTCTTCCTTCTTCAAGGTAGATGTTTCCTCTTACATGAGTTCCTCCCATTCAGAATAAGTAAGAGCCTCAAGAGAAACTCTTAGTCCCATGGCTGAAATTTAAAGCAAGATCACTTAAACAAAGATTTTTGTGGCAACGGTTAGTAGAACCTGAGTACCCTAATCCATCAATAAGCTTACTGATACTAGTACAAGTTGAGCAATAGGAATATCAAATGAGGTGTCTTGGTAAGTAGTAGAAGACAGAGTATAGTGCTCATCATTAAGGCCTTCAGAGCTATAGTTGCCTGTAACCTCCATTGATATACCTAGAAAAAGGGTTAAGGGGTGACTATGCACAAATCTATGAGGTTGTTACTCTATCTGTCAAAAGAAATAGAAACCAAAACTTCAAAAGAATGCAGAAGTCAAGACTAGAGGTTTTGTTAGGATCAAGGTACCAGGAAGTAGAATCCGGACTTGAAAAGAGAATACTGTTTTAGTAAGGGATTATAACAATGATATCCTTTCTGAGAACTAGAGTATCCAGCAAAACACATTGGTGTGCTCTAATAAGGATGATTATCGTTTTCATACTATTTTCTGTCATTTTTAAAGTGCTTGGAACTATATGAAGAACTTGACAAATAAAAAGCTAGGTTGTTTACACCATTTTCTTCCATTCTCGATTCTCCATTTGAGTCCCATCTCCATTCCCACAATCATATTTCATCTCTCTTTATGTGTTCTCATACCATATAAACATGACCAGCAAAATTAAAATGCTTAAAAGTCAATTTTTGTTGACGATAAACAAAACAGAATAGGGCAACTTTTGCATGATAGATATAAATTTTAAACTTACACTGCCTTCTGCATGGCCTTCATTGCTTGAGCTCCAGTTCTCAATGCATCCACCGTCTCTGTGGTAGCTTTTGCACCCTCAAGCATTATCATCTGGTGTCCATGTGCACATGTCGAATGGTTAGCATTACTGTTCGTGAAAATAGAGCAAGATGGAAATTTAAGTTCATAAGATATCATCAAAAAGGCACCTGATCATGAATACGTAATTGAAAATTTCCAAGTTGTTCAACTTGCTGTTCATAAAGTCTCTTTCGCTTTAGACATTGTATTGCCGCTGAATGATCACCACAGAGAAAAGAAGAAAATAGCATTACTACTATAATGAAACTTTTCTGAACACAAACAAAGTTGAAGAAGCAAGTAGGTTAAGTGACATGATCTAGAAAGAGAATACTAAATAGAAGTTCCAACACGCTAGATCTCAGTAACAATCTTTTCTTACTGGAAAGAAGATTTGTCACTCAAATCTTCTTAATTCCAGCTTTACCCTGGTTAATAATGATCGAAGTACTACCCATGAGTAGGACTAAAAGAACTATGCATGTTGTCAGTAGCAAGAATACTATAATAGTAGCAGAAAATATATCCGTACTCGGTATTTTTGGAAGGTCAGACACAAAGGCATTGTTGTTGTTGTTTGACCACAGATGTGCTCAATTTTTGGGATATCTCATAAGGAGAGGTGGGATAAGAACGTTTAGACCTTGGAGGTGATATTATAAAATAAGTAATCCTCTTGCGACTTTTAGCAGGGGTGTAGTGCTAAATTAGTCCAAATGTTGTAGGCATCTGCAATTTGACATCATGTAGGGGATTTCAGAGCAACAGTCTCTTCTCGAAATCGACTTTTAGCGCTCCTGAAAGTCCAAACTTTCTAAGATGTGGATATCTACTTAAGGGAGTCTGATAGATGAGTATTATCCAGGGAAGACAAAGGATCTGAGATCTTCTAATAATATTTACTGGAACAATAGGATTGAATTTTGCATAAATTTGTATGGCATGGGGTCATCGTGTATAAAGTAATGGTGGAATTATAATTGAATAAAGAAGAAAGATTAGTTTCTTTTGCTGTTTCCTAATTTGCACAATATAAAATGTGGATGTGAAGATTGAATCAGGGAGAAAGAGGAGGAAAGGGGACACACACAGAGAGCACGTATGGCCATGTAGAAAAATGCTTTGGGTGCCATGTAGAAGTAATGTATAATTTCATAAAAAATACCCTGAGCAAATGAACAGATAATACAAATAAATAATTAGAAGGTAGGACGGTTATGTAGAGATAATCTTTTAGAAAAGCACAAGATTAGTACTCCTTCCATCACACGGAAGTGTTTGACTACTAGCTCAATTCCCAAATTGTCCATATAACAAGTAGCATGTTGATAAATTTACGTCAAATAGAGAACAAGGTTCTAATATATTGGTGATAACTTTAAAGTGTCAAGATAAAGTAACGACTGTGGGTCAACATATATATCACAAGTACTCATGCAATAATGAATGTATGGAAAAATAGGAAACTTAGGTGTAAAAAATCTCCAAAAAGAGAAGTTTGGCAATTGTTATGAAACATCCAATAAGGCAATACTATGAACTTTTGCTGTTATTATAGGATGGAGGGAACATAATGTACCAACATACAAAAATATAACCTAAAATCACATAATAAATTCCACATGCAATAATTTATAGTAGGAAGCATAATAGTTCTTAAAATTTTAATCTATACCCCTTTTATTCTTTGCTCTAGTGAATTCCTTTGCCTTTTCAACCTCTGCAGCAGCTTTCTTTAGAAGTACCTTCTCTTTCTTCTCTAGCATTTCAAGTGTCTGCATGGCTTATAAAAATTATTAAATTAGTGAAAAAACCAAAAAGGTGCAAGAAGAGCATTTCAAGGGTCGTTGCATGACTTTGCACAGATGTTCTTCCTCCATGGAAACAAAAAAAAGTTCTCAAATGATGATGTTACTAATTGGTAAGATGTCTCCTTGAAACATACAGCAAACATGCAAGGTACCATAATCTTATTTCAAGAAAAAATGGACACAAGAACAGCAAACTACAAGTTCATCTCCTCCTCACAGAAGGGTTACAATCCAAGGTACGTTTTACCATCTTCTCAATTTTTTTGGGGGGAAATATGACTTGTATTACTTATTAATCTCCAAGAGATCCATTTGATATCGCAAGTGCCTTGATAGAAAGGTAAGTTGTCTATCCACGATAACCTTGAATTGCATCTACTACCCTAACTAATTGAAGAGTACAACCCACTCGGCCTAAAAAATGTAAACACAAGTTCTTGGCATCTACAAAATTGGTGATTCAATTGATCCTTGTATGTCCCACAACGAGTGCGACACGAACATGGATCACTCATGTATTGAAACCCACAAAGATTTGAAGAGATCTAGTGCACACGAGATCAAAGATCCCAAATGAGTACAAGGCTGTCATGTCTGCAGCACTGGAGAAGGGTCGGGAGGGGCACAGTTCATGAGCCAAACACCTAATCTTTGGGAAAGGTAGGTTTTCATGATCCAAAAACTTGCATAAAAACAAAAGAAAATGATTACAAACCTAACATGAATACAGACAAACACTATAATGAACAGAACCACTCAAAGAAAGGCATGATGTGTCGGGTCCAAGCTCTCCAGAAGCAGAAGCCATAAAGGATCATGTAAAAGGAACCTCTCCGAAACAAATGATACATGGAAAGCAGAGATGAGATACAGAGTGGTTAAAATTGAATAGGTCATGATTTGGCATGCTGGAGATAGTTCTCCAATGAAGACAAGAATGATCAACTTATCTTGTTCATGTTGTATGATTGGATCAGCACTAATAAGAAACAAGCTTTGTAGCACATTGTATAGTTTCTTACAGTTGCACAGTCCTATTCTCTAAACCTTCTTACTTGGGGTCTTCACGAAAGCAACCTCTATACTCCTCAAGGTAGAGTTAAACGTTTGCGTATATCCTACCCTCCCTGACCCTACTCCATGTGGGATTCATTGGGTTTGTTTGGTTTGGTTTGGTTTTCGTATAGTTTCTTACATCCACATCAAGTGAAGGATTTCATTAAACTAGAATCTCCTTAGTAACATTGGGAATATGCCAGTGAAAAACCACTGCAGAAGCATGTGATGGAAAGGCCGTAGAAGAAGATGAAAAGTTGCAAATTGTCCAATAATTTTCAATCCATGGCTATAGATGGCATTCCATAAGGCCATACGAATACCAAATCAGCTTTTAACTCACTCTTGATCCATAATGGTCCTAAACATCGGAATCCAGTTTGAACAAACATGAACACAGTTTGAATCATCTAATTAATCTTATTACAAGTAGAGTAGAAAAGGTGATATTCCATATGTCTCTTCTTTATCATCCATAATAATCATGCAAGAGAAAAAAATTAAAACGAGTTTCAAAAATAACAATAAGATCTCTAGTCAACGTTTGACAATCTCAAACAGAGGAGACAGGATGGTTCATAAAGGCTGCCCCAGGATTAGGAGAAGCTAAAGAAAATAAATCACATAATGACAAAAACAGGAGATCTCAAAGCAGGTCATGAATGTAGGTCAGTCATGTGCACGTCAGGCCGCTTCAAGGAGAATCGAGGTTCATGATTTGAATTTCCATCCAAAAATAGGTCACAGTTTGCAGCTCAGGGGCTTAGCTAGAGTTTCATTCACTTTGGAGCATTCAAAACTCACGGATTTGGTGATGGACTGTGCATCGAAACCTATTCAGCTAGATACAATGTGAAAATTCAAGGTAATAGTTACTATCTTCTCAATTGATTTGAACCTTGTATGCGTGGGGAAATGAGGACATAAAAAAAGAGGGATGGAGTTTCTCTCGCTTTTGGCATAGTGGACACGTGGTGGGGGATGTTAGCTCAGTAATTTATAAATAATACAAGATAAGATCACATCCTATCAACCTGAAGATAACTATATCCTTGTCAAGATAAAGTAATGAATATACAACACAAGCAGCTAACATGATGTACTACAGACCAAGCGCATGACCAAAGGGTAAGACTGATACATTACTCATGAAGTTCATGTTATGTGAAGAAAAAAATCATAACAATCAGGATGAGAGATTCCTGGATAGCTCATATGTTGTAGTTGACTTGACAAAACTCATCATGTGATTCCTTTCACCAAGTGTTATATGAAAATTTAAATTAACAAAACTTAAATCCACTTCTAGCAAGGATGTATTATATGATTTACATAAGCTTAAAATTCCAAAAAGATGTCCTCAAATAAATGAAATTGCAGATCCTATTCAGGAGCAAATTAACAATAAAAAAAATAGAAATATTGTTAATTTATAAATGCTAATGCAGTTGAGCCCTATCACAGATCACCAATATGCATGTTGAATAGGTGTATCAGAGCTCATATGATAGGTACTAAATCAATAAGAATAGGAATAGGCTAGCTTTTTATTGATAGTGGCCCGATTCGAGAGGGGCAAGGTCTCCGTTTACAAGAAAAGATAAATATGAGTAACTTTGATGATAACAATGATAAGCAAGCCTGTTATTTATACTATCCTATTCTTAGAATTAAGTATGGTAACTGCTAAAATCAAGTGTGGTAATTGCTCCCTAATTCCTTGGTTAACCATCAATTAATTTGAGTAAATTCAGTCAGTAGGAGAAATGAAATTAATAACATCATACTAAAGGTGTGAGCAGACTCATAAATAACTTCACACATATTTCAATTGTAAAGAATCTAAAGTAAAATAGCAGCATGATTTATCCTAATTACTTAGGGAAAGTAGTAAATAACATAAAGAGCATACCAGAAATGTGGCATTCAAAAGTCACGCATAGAAATCATTTTTGGAGGCATGTTGCCATCATTCCTGGGGTCTAAATCATTTTCACAGATCTATATGTAATTGCAATAAATATGCTACTTGCCCTATACTAACTAATTCAATCGTGTAACATGACTCGTTATATTCTATATAAGATAATTCTCATAACAGCTTGTTCTCCTGTTTTTCAGACTCTTGAACCATGATACTGAAAGCAGCAAAATATATAATCTGAAAAATGCCAATTATGATTGTACCTATTTATTGCAATTGTAACCAGTAGCACCTCCTAAACATAAGTGATAAGGGTCCTGAGGCYAGACCWACAGTATCAAAATGGTCAATTCAATAAGGASTCAACCACCTATTTCACTCAACATTCCAGGGCAGAGGCCCAACCAATTCGACCTACTTTTGCTTTGGGTATGATGAAATGATAAAAGGAACATACATTTATCTACCTTTGTAAAGTAGACAGGATAGAGTATCTTAGACTGACAACATTTCATGTGTTGCCCATAGACCTTAACATTGCACAAATATTTGGTCTAGGTACAAGTGTATCAATCCGAGAGCAACAAAAAGATGAACCTGATAACAAGAGCATTGTAAGCTTAAGCTAAATGAACCCTCAAGTTTCAAAAAAGAAACTTTTCAGTATTTGAAGTCAATTAAAGAATCACAAAAGAAGCTCATTGGAACCCAGCTAGAAACGATAATTCAAACCATCAGCCACAAATAAATGATAAACAATACCAACATATAGTGGTAATCAATCACAGCAGATTCTCATAATGTACCTCATTTAACTTGTCTAACGTTGTGACCGCGTTAGCTTCTTGTTTGGGTTTGCCAAACAATCGAGTAAACATCGTAAACCCTTTGCTCTTGAAACCTACTGCTCTGATCAAAACCAATAAACTAAAATCACTGAACTTTTCTCCGTCCAAAACGATCGATGATGTTATGACTGAAAACTCAAGCAATAGTAATACGACTGTACCTGGTAATCAGCCCGTTTGAGAGATTATCTTCGGAATGAATTATGTGTTAACGCTTCAATGTGACTTGTGGTGAAGAAATCGAGATGGAATGAGGATGAAAAAGGGGGTTTTGGAATGATTGGGAGGAAGAAGATGCAAGGAATTTGCTGATTGTTTGCTTGCGTCCATAGATTACCTCCGACTCGTTTACGCGCTTTACTTGTTTTTCCCTAATTAATTTTAATGGGTAACTATTTAATAATACATATTATTTAAAATTCAATATTATAAGCAAATTATACGTATTTATAATTTTTAAAACTATTTATACTATATTATAAAATATTTAACAAAAACTTTTAAAAATCATTTTTTTATGTATAAAGTATTGTTTATTGACACATTAATTAAAATTCAGAATTACAAGTTAGAACAAAGAGTTAACGATGTTTACGCGATTGTTTGGCAAACCCAAACAAGAAGCTAACGCGGTCACAACGTTAGACAAGTTAAATGAGGTACATTATGAGAATCTATTGTAATTGCTCATACGAATCAATTCAATTCTAACTTCACTGTCTTCTCTAAGGGGAAAATTCGATTGATTATGTACGAACATTAATTAAAGTATGTGTAAGAGCATGAAATTTGACTCATATTTTATTTTGTGTTGCAATAAATTGACACATATATCCGTAAGTCATATAAAAAGTTTGAATATGTGGTCTTTCATGAGGTTTTACGATGAATTCACATGTGAATGTGAAATTTGACTCCTCTTCTACTTACGCCCATTTTGTGTTATAATACATTTACATGTGATACCAAGTAATAAATAACGAGAAAAAGGTTTGTATCCGTGGTCTTACAAGAGAGTTTCCTATTTTATATTCTGACCGACCAATTCTGAGATTTTACATTTCTTTCATATGTACATGTTTCACGTATTCACATGTGAATATCTTCAATTTTTATTATCATTTTTCAGTAATTGTGCAAATATGAAAAAGATCACATCTGATGATGCAATTGTTTTCCAAATTTTTATAAGAAAGTATGTATAAAAATTTCCATTAATTTTGTTAATTTTCGTATATCAGTAAACATAAATGATTATTAATAAGTGAAATATATTGTTTTGCCTTTTTCATATTAAAATTTTGCTATTTTTAATAGTTGTTGGATTAAAACGAATCGATAATGCAAGAATTTTTATCTTCATGAGAATGTGAATGTGTATTCGTATTATCTAAACAATATATTACATTTTGTGAATATCCTAACCTCCACATAACCAGAAACTATGTATCGCAACTTCCACATGATATAAGCTTATGTATACAAGTTTCACGATATCGTTACATTTTTTATATGGTCATACCTTTCTCGTATTCTAGAAAAATGGTTATTGTCGTCAGAGAAGAAGTGTAAAGTGTTTCATTCTTATATAGTAGTTATATACTTCTATTTTTGAATTGATCATTTTATCAATATAATATACTTACACATTTGGTTTATATATATAT